ACGTACGGCTGATGATAATTGACATAATTCTCGGAATTTTGAACACCGCCTAGTGATAAAATTGCTCGTAAAGAAGGGAAATACACCGAAAGACATTTTTGAAGAGATGTCATGGGTTCTTCGGGATTCTGCGCCTTCATACCTATACAATGGTGAAAAAATGGGCCCGCATATTTCAACAAGGACGAGAGAGCTGTGAAAACGACCCTGTCTACCTTGAGAGCGAAGAAAACGTCCGAAAAGTCGAAAAAATCGTTCTGACCGTCCGAAGAATTAAATTGTAGCAGTACATAAACATTTGAATATGAGAAAAATTAGCGCGCGCTCACACCGCTCAACAAGCAAGGTCGACTCGCAAGTTGCAAAGATTTTTTGGAGCTAGTCGGCGATAACAAAGAAGACATTTGGCAACAGATAATTACCGTAGATGAAACATGGATGCGCCAATATGATCCGGAGTCCAAACAATGGATAAAAAAGGAGAAAGGCCGCCAAAGAAATTCAAGATGCAAAAGTCGGCGTCCAAGCTAATAGCCACTGTTTTCTGGGATAGCGAGGGAATTTTGCTTATCGACTACCTACCCAGGGGAACTACGATGAATGGACAATATTACGCCAACTTATTGACTCAGGTTCACGAGGCTATTGTACGGAAATGACGTGGGAAATTGACGCGCAGAATGCTCTTTCTGCAAGACAACGCGACCATTCACACCGCACATGTTGCGAGGCAAGCCCTAAAAGACACAGGATTCTCAGAGATTGACCACCCTCTGTATAGCCTAGCCTAGCGATTTTTCCTGTTTTCCAATTTGAAAAAGGACTTACGGGATATTTGCAGATGACAACGAAATGAAAGCTGCGGTTGATTCATCAGTAATTTTGAAACGAAAGATACAGAATATTTTTTGGTGGGTTAGAGGCATTGTATGCGAGATGTGAAAAATGTATTTCTCATGAGGGAGATTATAATGAAAAATAAAAAATAGAAACCATATTATATTTTCTTTCATTAAGTATCTCAGGCCGCGGACTTATCAGCCGTCTTCGTACATAATGACACCAAATTATGCAAACCAAGAGTAGGAACCACACTAGGAACGACACACCACACTCGACAATATGACTACACGAGACATCCTCAGGTGAACTAGACTCGCGGAGGTTTACTGTCTTAGCGGTGAACAGTGGTGCTGGGATTGGTGGTCCTGGGAGCGGTGGTCTTGGGAGTGGTGGTGCTGGGAGTTGAGGTGCTGGGATTGGTGGTGACGGGGATAGTGCACGCAATCGAAAGAGGGTGGGAGGTGCTTTACAAATTAGGCAAGACACAACATTTTATTTCATTACGCGGATATAAGCAAATTAAGTTCTAACAACTTTAATAAAATGGATTTCTGCAAAGTTTTGCCTGATTCTATTAATTATCAGAAATTACAGTTTACTATTTTGTTACTTATAAAGTTATCTATACTTATCACCAGTTATCTATTACTTCAAAATCAACGCATTACTAAATGCACACTTACAACGTTATCTGATAACAGAACAAGTGCAAATATTTTAATTGATCGGGCCATAAATGGTTTTATTTTTGCAGGACTGTGTCTACACTGTAACACATTATATAAACAGCCATTTTGATGAGCGTTACAATTATTATACATGGGTAAACAATTCGTAAACAACATGTTGACAAAGTAATTATTCCTCTTTGCTTTTTGGGTAGATAATTAATGCGGCAATCCACTTTCTGAAAAAAAGTTATTTTATTTAGTGTAATTAATAGAGTGCTGTAGCCAAAATCGTAGTCTCTCGTTGGAGTTATATAACGGTTAATAGTTTCAAATTTGGTATACTCTTTGTTAGTAGAATCGAAATTTTATCATAATAATACCTAATGCTGTAGTCTGGATCGCGTTACTCTAAGAGAACGCTTACTGACGTTGGGTACTTTGAAATTAGGTATGCACGTAAGGCTTGGACAGCAATACCCGATTATGATTCATTAAAATTAGCATGGTAGCGATTACCTCATTCCCAGGGGTATTGTCAGTTATGTATTCTTTACTTAGCGGCACGGAATGTGACCCAAACATAAACCAACCGATAACAGGTGATTTTGGTGCCGTGAATGAGAATTTGAAGTGGCAGATTGTTAACACGGTTTAAGCTAAAAAAACTTAACTTGTTTAATTTCTGTGGCTTAGTTTTTGTTAGTGTGTCGCTAGAATGCACGAAACAGGCGAGTAAAATATTTTTTTTAAATAATGGTGCATTTTATTGTTGGTGAATCTTCTTTTGGTTTTGTTTTCCAATTAATGTGTAGTCTTTTCTTGCTTTTATAATCGGAACACAACGACTGTAACTCCAGCTCAAGTTGCTCAAGCTGTGTTGCTTCGCAGTCAGCGAGAGGTTGCTGAATTTATAAATGTACCACGTACAACCCTTAGATACGCCTTACAAAGGTACGAACAGACCGGTCTGTACACGAGGAGACCAGAAAGTATCGAAATCAGGTGTACATCAGCGCAGGATGACCGATTTATCACTCTCGCAATTTTGAGAAATCGGTTCCATACTGCGGTTCAAATAAGACAGCGTCTGCAAGCAGCAAGAGGCGTATACGTTAGTGAGCGGACGACAGGAAGGAAAATGGAGGAACGGGGCCTGCGTTCTCGAAGACCAGCACGAGGTCCAGAACTGCTCCGGCAACATCGCGTAGCTCCACTTCGGTTCGCTCGCGAGCATGGAAATTGGACTCATGAAGAGTGGAGTAAACCTCAGTGGACCGATGAATGCAGAATAGCCTTAAGAGCTCCAGATGGCCGTGAACGTGTATGGAGAAAGCGTGGAGAGAGGTTTCTGTCAATCACCAACAGGCAAACCGTAAGTTTTCATGGTGGATCCGTAATGGTTTGGGGAGGGATCAGTGCAGATGCACGTACAGAGTTAGTGGTAGTTGAAGGTCGTTTATCGGCAGTGCGATACATTGAACAGATCTTCCATGATCATGTTTTACCCTATGTGGAATTCATTGGGAGCGAAGAATTTAAGTTAATGCAAGATAATGAGCAATCTTTCGGAGGTGAGAATTGTTAAATTGGAGTGGCCAGCTCGAAGCCCAGACATGAATCCCATAGAACATGTCTGCGACATGCCTGGATGAAATACCCAAGTTAATATCAAAAACATCATCCACAGCATGAATGATCGTATGCAGGCGCTTATCAGGGCCAGAGGTGGAAATACCCGCTACTAACGTTAGTTACTAGTAATTTTAATTTGTTAAATTCATTAATAAACATTTGTTATTTTTTTTATTTCATTAAAAAAATTATAAAGTTACCACAATTTTTGTTTATTAATCATTTGCATTTAAGATTTGAATAAACAATAAAAAAAATCCAAGACAAAAAATAGCCGTATCGCGGTTTATTTTGATAATAACCTTCATAGTACGTTTGTGTCACATTCCGTGCCGCTAAATATATTATAATGACTGCCTCGTTAGTCCAGTGATCGTAAATGCGGTTGCTGATCATGAGGTCCCGGGTTCAAATCCGTCGTCGAAATCAGTTACTGTTTTTTCTGCCAAGAAATTCTCAGTAGCAGGCTGGAGTCACGTAAAGCCGTAGGTCCTGCGCCTGAGTCTCTCCAGCCAGGTCGGTTACCGTCCCATCGGATTATGAGAGAGGGAGAATAGAGAGTGCACCAGTGCTTGCGCATACACTTGGCAACTTTAATCCTATCCTGTGCAGATGGCTAGTCTTCGTTGAGACTATGAACAGCCGTGATCGAAATTCGGTTTGGAGTACATTGATTAGTAAAATCAAAGGGTTAGTATAATCCCTTTTACACAACGTTTATTAAATAAAAAATATAAACTTATTGTCAGGTACACCCTGAATATTTTCCGGGATATTGTTATCAAAGCGTAGAAGTAAAAAGTAATTAACAACTCGTCCTGGTATTTACAGAATGTACATCAATATTTTTATTAACACTATTTTTGTTTTTGTATGCAGTATGCTTTGAGATACCATGACACCCAATACAACTGTGTACTGTATGGTAAAAGATTACAGCAACAAAACAGTCGTATAGTAGCATGTTTTTATTTTCATAGATACTTAATTGTATAAAATATAATATTGTAAATAATGTTTCAAAAAGTTCCGCTGGGTTTCTTGCTGCTTCTTCCTAGGACAGACGTTTTTTCCAAACCAGTGGTAAAGCTTAAATTATTTTCAACGAGTTGAATGTAAATTCAAGAAAAACAACTTCCTTCTGCGTGAATCCCATATCTCTGGTGCCCTTTGACCTACAGGACCCAAATTACTCTACCTCAAGGTATCCACATACCAAATTTAAAGTCAATCGGTCCAGTGGAACGGAAGTTATCGTGTCGGCATACAGACTAACAGACTGCCAGCTAAAACCATTAACTTCCTTTCAATGCTACACAGAAGGAAGTTAATAAGTATTCTTCTAAAGTATATTGAAAAAAACTATACTATCCTATGTTGGTGGGTGAAAATGTATACAGGGTTATTTTACAAAAAGTAGCCAAATTTTAAACTTTGGGTCAATATAAATGTGTAAATAATGATATGCCGTTATTTCAGTTTTTCAAAATACGAGTAAATAAGGGTTTTACTTTTATTTGAAATTATCCCAAATTGAATGTGATTTTTGTGAGTTTTTACCTACCGATCGACCCTTACGAATATGTGCGTACGCAGTAAAACATCTTTGGTACGCAGTAAAATCAGTTACAATTTATTACCATGCATTTTGAATTTAAAAGATAAAAAGGACAGAAGGTTTAAGATGTTTTTTAGTTAATTATTCTTCACCATTTGCCTATACTACTTATTCTGAACCTTCTCTGTATATTTGGTCGGTTATTGCAAAATAACCCTGTATAATGTTGAGAAAAAAGTAACACAGAACCTTTTATTTATCCATGTTCAAGAATTTTAATACATTTTCTCACTTACGATTAACGGTGTTCGCCGTCAGCCCCTCTACGTACACCATCTTCATACAGAAGCTCACTTGAATACACTTTTTATGACACTTGTTTACTATTTAAAACCAGAATTTATTAAAATTGCGTCTCAATGTTGTAAACGTCTCGTTTTATAAGGCAGACATTATCATTTAAATTACAACTTAATTATATTTGCGGAGCGGGAGTATCGCCTTATGATGTGCTAGTGAACGTCTGCTGAAACAGATTCTCGATCTTTACCTATCGTTACACTTCCGCACAAAATATTTGCTCTATAACAATATTCTTATGAACAATCGGTTTACATTTGTCATCATGTTCTAATTTTCGCATCCTTAATGTACACAAAACATCACACTGAGCTCATCATAATATTGCAAGTTACAGATGTTAAGCACGATACAAAATTAATTTCTTTTCTTTAGGTGTCTTTAAACAAATAATTTTATTCATATATAAATTATCACGCCTGTCACCCAGAGGGGTAGGCAGAGACTATAGACTTCTATTTCGTATTACATATATACCTATATGTATTTGCATAGGTACATGCTCGTCGGTTAAGGATACTCTTAATTTGGCCCATGAGTTTGCGTATACGTCAGAGAGGGCATCTGTTCCCGACGCCTCGGCAGTCTTGAAGGTTCGGACCTGTCCGTACTTTGGCTACGCGTAGACAGCGACGACCATACGCGTGTCTATGGGTGCCTCTATAGGTCCCATAGCGGTAATGCCAAAACAGACCGACTCATCGACCACGTGCAAATGGCTACAGATTCCTTGCTACAACAGGTCCCATCCGCAGAGATCGTGATCCTTGGCGATTTTAACGCCCACCACGCCGAATGGCTCGGTTCAGGTTTAACCCATCATGCGGGGAGATCTGTTTATGACTTTGCGTTGGCATATGGTCTGACACAACTGGTTACATCACCTACGCGGACTCCAGATGTTGAGGATCAGACACCTTCCCTGTTGGACCTTATGCTGACATTTCATCCGGACGGATATCAGGTTTCCGTCGATGCCCCTCTTGGCTCTTTGGACCATTGTCTGATCCGGAGTGTTGCGCCACTCACGCTGCCCTCGCGGTTGCGTTCTGCAGGTTGCCGCCGTGTTTGGCATTACAGGTCGGCGTATTGGGAAGGAATGCGGTCTTTCCTTGCATCCTACCCATGGCGGGGGGATTGCTTCTCGCCGGATGATCCCAGCGCTGTTGCTGACTCTGTCACTGATGTGGTGCTACAGGGAATGGAATTATTTATTCCATCATCTGTGGTACCCATCGGAGGCAGATCTCAGCCTTGGTTTGGTCGCTCCTGTAAGACTGCATTACGCAGTAAGCAGGAGTGATATCAAGCCTGGGTTGCGGCTTCGGCAACTCGGGATGTAAACACCAGCACGCTTAAAAAGAAGTATAACTTCGCCTCCAGGTCCTTCAAAAGAGTTATTGGAAAGGCAAAGTCAGAGCACATAGGCAGAATTGGCGAGAAACTAGTTCGCCTTCCTTCAGGAACCCGTGCAGTCTCTCGCCAAGGCTGTCCAAGGGAATTTCTGTAAGCCATCACTACCATCTCTGCACAGGGAGGACGACTCACTGGCCCAAGCCGCAAAAGAGAAAGCCCACCTTTTGTTTCGAGTTGGACGCAAAAAGGGAGCCTCCCTTTTTGCGTCCAACTCGACTCTTGATGACGGGGGAAAAACACCGCCCACCATACCACGGTGTGAGTGCTCCATGTCAGATGTGCGGTTCTCACAGCGGTCAGTTCGCAAAGCACTCCTCTCCCTGGACATCAACAAGTTGAGTGGGCCTGACGGAATCCCCCTAATTGTACTGAGGGCGTGTGCTCCGGATTTGGCACCGGTACTAACGCGTCTTTTCCGGAACTCCTACACCCAAGGCGTAGTCCCGAATTCATGGAAGACAGCTTTTGTCCACCCGATCCCTAAAAAAGGCGACCGCTCAGACCCGTCCAACTACAGGCCTGTAACAATCACCGCCTTGTTCTCCAAAATAATGGAATCCATTATTAACTGCCAGCTCATGCGGTACCTTGAGGATCACCAGCTGATTAGTGACCGCCAATACGGTTGTCGGGGTCAATCAGCTGGTGATCTTCTGGTCTATCTGACTCATAGATGGGCGGAGGCAGTAGTGTCCAAGGGGGAGGCGTTGGTCGTTAGTTTGGATATTGCGAAGGCCTTCGATCGGGTTTGGCACAAAGCGCTTCTTTCGAAGCTCCCTTCCTATGGGCTTCCCGAGAAATTGTGCAATTGAATCACCAGCTTCCTTGCAGATCGGAGCATCAAGGTCGTTGTAGATGGTGCATGCTCCGACTACAAGCCTATTAACGCTGGTGTTCCACAAGGCTGTGTGCTATCACCAACGGTATTTCTTCTGCATATCAATGATATGTTGCTAACTGGTAACATTCATTGCTATGCGGATGACAGCACTGGTGATGCTCTATACACCGGCCGCGCCAATATTTCTCAGGAAAACGTCGCCGAGTACCGGAACAAACTTGTGTCTGAAGTCGAGTCTTTGCTGAACAAAGTCTCGGACTGGGGGTGACTAAATCTAATCCAGTTTAATCATCAGAAGCACTCCCCTTCTTGCCTCAGTCATTATCAGAATCCTCGGAGTCGACATATCGAGTGACGTGCAGTTTCGTGGTTACTTGGAAGATAAGGCCAAATTGGCCTCTAAAAATCTTGGCGTGCTCAGCAGAGCGGGACAGTACTTTATGCCGGCACACCGCCTGTAACTTTACAAATTGCAGGTTCGGCCTCACATGGAATACTGTTCCCATCTCTGGGCATCTTTCACTTGACCGCATCCAGCGCAGAGCGGCTCAAATCGTCGACGACCGAGTCCTTTCCGTTCGGCTCGATTCATTGGCACTGCGAAGAAATGTTGCATCCCTTGCATTTTCTTTCACATTTACCACGGGGAGTGCTCTGAGGAATTGTTCGGATTAATCCCAGCCGCCAAATTTCACGAACGCACATCGCGGCAGAATTCTCGATACCATCCACACCATCTGGATGATTGGCGGTCCACCACTGTGCGATTTAGAAGATCTTTTCTTCCTCGCACAACTTCATTGTGGAATCGATTACCATCAGCGATTTTTCCGGAACGATACGACTTAGGGACCTTCAAGAAAAGAGCCTACTCCTTTTTAAAAGGCCGGCAACGCATCTGCAATTCCCCTGGTTCTCCTGGTGTTGAAGTTGTTTATGGGCGGCGGTAGTCACTTACCATCAGGTGAGCCGCATGCCCGTTTGCCCCCTCTGCTATATATAAAAAAAGGACAAACAAAAAGATCCATTAAAACCCGTGTGAAAGAACATATAGCTGACGTGAAACACCGACGCTCTGGGAAGTCTGCAGTCTGTGAACGTGTGCAAGATCGTCCCCGCCATTACATCAGATTTGATAGACCACAAATCCTCGCAAAAGAACACCGATTCCTACCAAGGATTATACGCGAGGCTATTGAAATTAAAAAACATCCTAATTTCAATAGAGATGATGGATGGGCGCTGCCATCTGTTTGGGATCCTGTATTTAACAAAATTAAATCCAAACCCAAGCAGACCAATACAAGACTTCCAGATAATGTAAGTTTATTCTGCGTAAATCGAACCAAAAATTAATATTAAAAAACTGAAGGTAGCCGGGCTAACTGAGACATTGGGACGTCAAACATCTCAGTCCCAATACGAATACGAATATTCGTATTCGTCGAATAGTATCATTTACCGAATATTCGTATTCGGCGAATACCAATCACGAATATTTCAAAACTAATATTTTTGTACGCAACTCTAACTGACGGACTTGGATAACGCGCGTCGTCGGCGCGTAAAAAATACGTGTGTTTCGGCCCTTAGTCTCAACGACGGGGGACTCCCGGCTCCGGGAGTTTCCCTACCATTACGAACCGTGGATTGATTGATTCATTTCATTTGACAGTCGAACGAAAGCACAGGTCAAGCAAGAAAGTATTGTTTAATTTAATTGTTTTGTGAGGTTGCTGCGAAGTGAAAGAAAGAAGTTGAAGGTAAAATGTCTGCCCGTAAACGAGATCAAAGTGACATATGGAAACACTTCTATATATTACCGAGTAAGTAGTTATATAGTCTGTATTTCATTTGTATCAACAAAAGGTAGGTAAGTAATGGCTTTGTCTATGTAGTATTAGACTTTGCCTGCGACTTTGTCCACGCAGACTTCGGTTTTAGTAACTTTTCCCTTCCCACGGGAATATCGTTTTATTTTTCGGGATAAAAAGTAGCCTATGTATTAGTCTGGTATATAAGTTATCTCCATTCCAAACAGTCAAATACGTCCAGCGGTTGCAGTGTGAAAGAGTAACAAACACACACACACACTGTACCGTAGATGAAACAAGCACTGAAGTTGAAGTAACACCAGCGAAGAAACAAGTATCCAGGAAATATAGGAAAAACGTACTACGTATGAAACTGATGATCCTAGGGCTGTCGAAATCACATATTCAGCATATTCACCAATGAAGCTGAAAAACTTTGTCTAGATATGGAGTCCCTGGATTTGGTAAGTAAAAAGGTATACCGTCGTTTACCCAGTGAACTGGTTCCAAGGTTTGTTTGCTTTTAATTAAATGCTACACTTTTCCCGCGACTGCGTCCTCGCATACGTCGGTTTTAGCCGCTTTTCCCCTCCCATGGGAATTTTTTTATCGGGATAAAAAGTAGTCTAGCCTATGTTTTAATCAGAATTAAGGTGTGTAAGCTATCTTCATTACAAATTTCAGCCAAGTTCGTCCAGCGGTAGAACACACACATAAACACACACTTACAAACTTTCGAATTTAATTTATAATATTAGTGTGATACTCTTTCAACTTTCACACAACTATTTTTGAATTTTTTTTATAGGAGAGGGGGCAAACGAGCATGGGGCTCACCTGATGGTAAGTGACTATCGCCGCCCATGAACAACTGCAACACCAGGTGAATTGCCGGCCTTTTGAGAAGGAGTAGGGTCTTTTCTTGAAGGTTCCTAAATCGTATCGGTCTGGAAAAATCGCTGGTGGTAATCGATCCCACAAGGAAGTTGTGCGAGGAAGAAAACATCTTCTAAATCGCACAGTGGTGGACCGCCAATCATACAGGTTGGTATCGCAAGTTTTGTCGCGATGTGCGATGGTGAAATAGAGCGTCTAGAATTAG